CTCCCTGTAAGCATGCCATGCCCCCTCAACCAGTCTGCAGCTGGGAAAAGGTCAGGGGCCACTGCTCTAAAGGGTGTCCACTAAATGAATTGATACATAATTTTGATACGTAATTCTGGTAGGTGCCAAGGAAAAACAGTCTGTTAGAATTAATTTTAGCACCTGTTTAATGAATATAGAAATCACAAGTTTTGTTGATTATTACAAGACAGGGAAATAGAAGGGGCAGTCAATCTTGGACTCGACTATTGAGATACAGTGGTGAGCAACTGGGAAATAATACCATGAATACTTCTAGTATCCAAACAGCGAAAATGAAGATGAGGTACACAGTTTCCTTTCATATCAATGGGTATTCCTGGTTGTGAACTAGAAGTCTACACTTTGTAGAGAATAAAAAGTGAAAAGAAAAATTATAGTTACCACTAGGTGCTTTCATTTGAGAAAGAGCCCCAGCTCTCATGTTAGGCAGGGTTTGGGTTTTCAAGGGACCATCAGGGACTTGTAAAGCTGGTATCCCATCTGGAAAGGCTGGTTTAACTAGAAGTTCATTTCTTGAGGCAATGCGTGGCATAGTGGCAGACTGGATGTAAGGACCAACTGCTGCCACCCGACTTTGAGTAGAAACCACTGGTTGTGGCGGATTCCCATCTGAAGACACCTAAATAAGATACAGAAAAGTCACAAGTTAAATACTGAAAGACAGCCTATGCTTGGGGGGCGGCGGCACTGTGTGTTTTCTGCAACAAAGGCATGTTGACAACTGCATTCTTTATTACCAAAACAAAAGCACGAAAGGGGAAACAGCACTTGTCCCAACATAAAAGGCTGAATAGATTAATACAAGTGTTATTACTTAAAATGCAACAAGGGAAATGCTATGGCTAGAGCAGACACAAATAGCCTCCCAACAACCTCTCACCCCCAGCCAATATATTAAATATGCTCCAGTGATAGAACAGTAATTTTGTTTTGTTTCAGGGGCTTTGGTACTTACCGGTACATTTTCTTTTTGCTGCAGCGCAGCCTTCTTCTTCCACAGCCGTTCCCTCAACTCATTAACACGCTTATCCATAACTGCCACCTCTGAGTTGCGTTTGTTTAAGCAGTCCCTCTGTTGCTGCAGCTTGGCATTCTGCTCCTGATTCAGTTTGTTTCTCAACTGAATGAATTGAAGAAAGAAAACCAAGAATTCAGCCCAAATAACATTCAGGGTGGATGCCATCAGTTACTCGATAATTTAAAAAATACGCAAGTTTTGAAAAGGTTGGACAAACAGCCAAACAAGTTCTTTTCACATCATGCCAAGTAGTAAAAAAGACACATAACATCAAAGACACATAATTATTTTGACTGCTGAAGAGAGTGCATAATTTTGGTGTTTGCCAAGAGAGGAGACACCAGATGAGACCTCTTTGCAAGGCACTAAAGCAACCACCCCTTAAGCCACTAAGATTTGCAGTTACCTGCAGCTCTTTGTACAGGCGGTCAAGTTCGGCTACAGCAGACTGGTTGTCATGGTAACCATCAATCCGGCCATTCTTCAGCATCTCCAATTGCCTAGTAAGTTCCTCTACCTTTGACACAGCCAGTACCAGTTCTCGTTGTTTTTGCTGGAACAAACTGTTCATCTGCTCAATCTCCTCCACTGGAGGGGAAGACAAAATACAATAGCTCTAGCTGAGAAATGACCAAATGTTGGCTGCTTCCAAGGCAGCTGTTAAGAGGACAGAAATGCCCTCCAGCTCTAAAGCACAGAGCTCAAAGAAAGCCATTTCATTCTGTCACATGAACAGTACTAGCTATGGAGTTACTCACTTCAAATTTGATGAAGGATCTTTATCACAAAAACATTTTCTGTTTGATGGTATTTTTAGTACAATAAGACTGTGATAAATAAAGACAACAACATGTCCTCTGGTGGTTCCTGAAGATACTTAGCTCACATGGCTAAAATGAGAGATATAGAATGGAAGAGAAAAGCAGCCATATATAATCTATGTCTTGAACAAGTCTGAAATATAAGGATCTTTTCTGACACAATTCAATTTTGTTAACTGCTAGACAGTGCCACAGATCGATCTGAAGCAACTCCTTGCTTCATAAGATATGTATAATATGGCACAGGACAAGAAATTAGACACAAAAATTAAAATTTCAAAATATCTTGTTTTGCTTATAACATATTTTTCTTGAAAGTTGAAGAAAGGGCATAACCCCTTTTTGAAACCTGAAGCTGCACCACCTTCTGTGGAGAACATTGTACAGATCATGTTCCATCAGCTGATAAAACCAATGCTACCCTATGTCTCCCTCAGAAGTACACATACTCCCAAGATACTTATCCAATGTTCTTTCCTCTCTTTCTTCCACCTTTCTCTTGCCTATATATTTTTTTCTTTCTTCCATCTTTCCCACCTTTTCTTCCCAGTCACCTTCCTCCCCTCCTCACCATCAGTGAGCAGGCTAAAAAATTTATACCAACTGAGTTGCTGGGTTTGTGGTTTTGTTTTTAACCTCCCATACTTGATCCTGCTCTCACTCCCTAAATGTTAAAGCCTCATCAATATGGATGCATCAGCCGAATGAAGTGTAGCAAAACTATTCCATAGGTATTGTGTAAAGAAAGACCATGAGCCAGGAGGCCCAATGGACTGGAGGTTTCCCATTTCTGGGATAAACGTTCTAAAAATCTTTCAAGAGTATACTTGCTTTCATGGCATTTTCTCAGTACCTGGGCAGAGTACCATCAACTTGGGTATATAACAAGATCAAGTATATGCTTTGCTCTCAACTTTTTGAATAGAGAAGAAAGAGAATGACACTAAGTTATTTAAATGACAAACTGATCCCAAAATATATCATTTTACTTCTGTTCATTCTCTCTCATGGGGAAGATTCATAAAGCTAATTGTAATTACTAGCTTGAAGTAAAATGAAATATTCTTTTGCCATTGTAAAAAACAAACAAAAAGCAGTTGCTCCTCAATGTGGCAGTACAAGATCATCCTGTACAGCAGCTATAAACAACCTGAAGGAAAAAAAGTCTGGTATTCCTTGATAGCTAACTAGGATGTTATTCTCCAACATTTAACATAAAACATGGTCAAGAATTATAGCAGCATGAGAGGGCAGCTATGTTATTGTGCTGCACAGCAAATCAATATTCAAAATTATGACTTTGAAACTGGAGAACACAACTGGAGTAACTTCAGAACACTACTGAATTTGGTACAGATGCAACAGACAACCTGCTCTTACTCTGTGCCAAATTGGGGGAAGTTTGGGCAAAGGGTTTTTTAATTTTTAAAAACTAAAACTGCCCCCCATGCAGAAACAAATGACCTTTAAACATCCACAGATTTAAAACAGATCAAAGAACAAAAGACCAATCTTGCTTATCTTCAAAGAGCATGGTTACCTCCACCCAACTTTTTTTTAATTTAGAAGGAATCTAGGCTGCAAGGGGCCGGAATACTGATCCACAAAAAAGGTCTTTCAAAAGATAAAAAACATTCATACCTGCTGAAAAATAGCCTTGACAATTGCTTTGTGTAAAGGAGTCAGCTTCTGAGATTTTCCCTTGCTTGGTGTCACTTTGAGAAAGATCATGAGCGCAAGAGAGCATTCTGTACACCAGTGTTCCCCAACCTTTTTGTCTCCATGGACCGGTTTAGTGTGCGGGCGGGGGGCATCCGTGCATGTGGGGCAGGGTCGTGGGGGGAGGGGGCATATGTGCGTCTACGCCTTGCTTGGTGTCACTTTGAGAAAGATCATGAGCGCAAGAGAGTATCCTGTACACCAGTGTTCCCCAACCTTTCTGCCTCCATGGACCGGTTTAGTGTGTGGGCGGGGGGGCATCCGTGCATGTGGGGCAGGGTCGTGGGGGGAGGGGGCGTATGTGCGTCTACGCATGCAAGGGGGGGCAGGAGATTTGTCTCTGCGGCCTGATCCTAGCAAGGCCACGGACTGGGACCAGTCCGCAGACCGGGGGTTGGAGACCCTTGCTCTACACCAACCTGACTGCTGTCATTGGTGTCGCCAACATTCAGGCTGTCTTTTGCTACATAAAGGTTGGCATCCTTTTGTCTGCTGGCAACACAGGGACAATATGGTACAGCAATATTGGGCTATTTCCTGGCATTCTGAACCACAGATACAGAAGCACAATATCCCATTCCTAAATTGGAGATTTTTTTAAAGAATTGAATCTACTGCGGTGTCATTACAAATAATTCAAAGATTTACACAACTAACCCTAAATCAGAGAAGAGGGTATCAAGAGGCAAGAATTCTAAATTAGATTACAATTGCTACTCAAAACATATTTAGTTCTAATAGGATATTGTGTTTAATGTTCTCCCAGATTTAAAATATAAAATTGTGAATTTCTTCCAGAAGTGTTTCTTACTAATTTCTTTCTGATGCTACAGACTGCTTCTATTTTTACTGTATAATGCAATATAAGCAGCCCACTATTACTACTGAAAGGGTTTTAAATCTCAGTGAAGTAGCTCCGATATATTTTTTGCCACTAATGGCCACAAATGAGAAAATCTCTTTGGAGCCACTGGCACTACAGAAGAGGAAAGCAATTAAGTTTACATAATGTTTGTTTCTAAGTCATCTTTTGGCCAAGGAAGCAACACCAAAGTAATATCCAAGTTAAAATAACTCATGTGTTCAGTCATAGCACAAAGACCATATATCAACAGCTGAAAATTAAACATTAATATGTGATTGACAAAAACTAATTTGCCCATGTATTACACACAGAACTCTAAGAATGAGATACAGGTTATGTTATTTACTGTAGCACAAGAAAACACTATGAAACACTGACCAGTTCCAGTGTTAAACATCTGCTGGATCTCACTGCTTCTGCCAGAATGTACAACTTCCTCTCTCTCCTGCAGCCTAATAGGCAGCCTGAAAAACTGCCCTAGAGGCTGAGAAACTCTGTAAAAGATCTTTTACTATAGAGTGCTCTAGTAGCATGGGAGAGATGTCCATTGGCACTGGATTCTGAGATATACCACTAGATCTTGGCATATGACTCAATGAACAGGATATGTCAGAGCATAACACAAATACTTTCCAAATACCATATATATATAAACATGAAAACAAATTCCAAAATACAAAAAATGCAACTACTGTATGCTTGTTTCCTAGGCAATTATCAAAATAGGAGCATCTGAATGCTAACAACATCTAACAGCTCACCTAGCTTCCCGTTACTGAGCCGTTTCTGCTCCACATGTCCTTTCAGTGCCCTCACTTTCTTCAACTTGGCTTCTTGATTTTCAGCAATTTCTTTTAATCGTTTAAGTTTTTCCTGTTCTGCAGCTTGCTGTTGTTGCCGCTGGTCCTGTTGCTTCAGAAATTTTAAACGTTGCTCCTGCAAGTAAATTAACAAAAATGGTATGCAAATTGTAGGTTGATTCTGAGCACATATGATTTCTAGAACAGAGAGCTGATATGACATTGACACTAAGGATATCTGAATTCCAATTGCTGCTGTACTGTGGAGTCAATGTGTCTCTCTCCAATTCAAGCAAGGTACAGCTGTCACTCCACAGTAACATAATGGTCTGCCCAAGTAAGCCATGGGCAAAAATCCAATAATTCTAAATGCACTTCTAACATTACAAAATCCACACTTTCAAGAAGTTGAATTTCTCATGATTCTCTCTATTAGTAGTTATTTTTTACAAAAAAATAATTTCAGCAAACCTTGTTTGCTAGCATCTCCTGTTGTGCCTCTATCTGCTGTTGTTGTCGCGATGCCATTTCTTGCAGTTCAGCCAGAGTCATATCCATCCGAGGAGCACTGACCTTTAGTGACCAGAAATATAGTAAAAGGATTACGTTTTGTTAAAACCTACAGAAGAAATTTACCACCTAGTTTCAGAAGCTAAAAAAAAGAAGTTAAATTTCCTTTCTGTCAATTTTGAGGCAATTTTGTAGCATAAACCTTCTGGAACTAAAACATATGCCATCTGGTTGGCTAGGGCTGCTCCCAAACACAACAGCAGGGGTGCACTGTCCTTGTAAAGGGAACTGATCTCAAATTTCTAACTAGGAAAAGCTAGTTGTTTTCCCAGGCTCTATGTAACTTGGGTTTCTTGGTCTAGACTTCTTAATTAACATCTTCTAGGGTAAAGCAGGTTACATGTTTGTAGAATTTTTTTTTTTAAATCTCATTATAATCTGACAACTCGTTTTTTTAATCAGTTACCTGTGATATGAAATAACATGAAGCAGGAGAATAACAGTAATTGGTTACAGTAGTACCTTGGTTTGCGAACACCTCAGGTTACGTAATTTTTGGTTTACGAACTGAAATCCATAAGAAATAAAGCCCCGGTTTACTTTTTTTTTCGCACTACGAAAGTATTTTCCCAGGGTGCATTGCACCTATAGAACCACCCCTTTCGTAGCAAAATTGGCGCTTCAATTTGCAAAATTTCCATACTACGTAACATCGTGTAGAATGGATCTGTTTCACAAACTGAGGTACTGCTGTATTACAGTAACACAGAGATTTTGTATTACACAACAAGATGTTCTGGTCAATAAATAGAAGAAATTATGTTCTTGGTTGTAGTTAAGAGGAACTAACCTAAATACTTACTCCATTTTCTATTCTTCGTTCTCCTGGTATTTTTATACCATTTCTCTTCAAGCTTGGCTCTTGGAGTCTTGGTCCACTCCCTTTGTTAAATATAAAACAAACCCAAAACAGACAGAGAATGTAAAAATATTCAGAGACTGCTTTCAATATAAATGTGATTCTATAAGGTTGTATGGAGGAAGCTGGATGGTTTGCAATTTTGGGCTGGCCATGTCATTGACAAACATTTGTAAGTCAATGTAAGCACAGCTGCAGCCCTGCTTGTGTAGCTACTAAAATGCTGCCTATGCAATAAATGAATTCACCTTGTCTGATATGCAGGGGACAATGAAAGGGAAACAAAACATGGCATCTTCATGGAAAATTAAAGTGGACAAGTTGCAGAATGCAGTACTAAGCCAACCAAGTATTTTGCATGAACTCAGCAGAATTAAAGGGAATATTTTTAGCTTCACTACCACATCACCATTTTGAACTGTGATGAGAATTCAAAGGCACATCCTAGCTAACAAAAGCAGCAGAAGACAGAGCAATTACATGCAAACTAGACAACTTTCTTCAGAAAGGTATGAAGTACATCTCATGATCTCATATTTAGGAATGCAAAGTTTAGTAAAAGGACTTCTGTGCTCTGAAAACACTTGTGCTATTGATGTGTTATGGAGCGGGATACTGTAAGCAAGCAAACAGAACAGCCCCTCCTCATTTATTTCCACCCCTCTCCTCACAAAGAAGATGTTTCTGTGGAAAGCCTCATCTATGTGTCCCAGTCTGCTGATGTTCTCCACACATAAGCCAAGATGCAATACTCCTTTTCACAAACTTGCCGTCCATGTGAAGAACACACAGTGAAAACACTGTGTATATTTCAATATGACTCAACAAAGCTAAAGTCTCATTGGGACACAAATCAACAGGACATAATTACAGTATTCACGCTTGACAGTGAATTAGCTCCTCCACAAGCAGATAGAGACTTCAGAGAAGTCAACAGTAAGATTGTATCACACAGTCCTAAGTATTTCACCTGTTTGTTTACATCTCAAGTAAGAAATCATGGGTCTTTTGTCATCCACCCAGAGCACAGTGCACTATTCCAGGGTAAAGCAACTTTCAAGAGTATAGCTGTCATGCTTCATTTCCATACAATGCTCTCACAAGAGTAGCTTATTACTTACCACTTTCCCAATTAGGGGGCCGTTCATGTCGAAGAAAGAACCGAACTTCATTTCTGTGGACTCCATAACGTTGCAAAAGTTCCAACATGCGCTCGTTATCAGCTACAGGACGCTCTGAAAAATACAAAGCTCGATATGGTTTCCTCCATGTACTTTTCAATACTATACTGGCTGGATAACTCAGTGGGTTAGGTTTATGGCTGCAGAGCCAGAGGTTGGGAGTTTAATTCTTCATTGTGTCTCCAGGGAGAAGAACCAGCCTGTGTAGTCATGGGCAAGCTGCACAAGCCCAGGATGCCCCCAGAATAAGGGAATGGTAAAACACTTCTGGGCATGGCATTCTTTGTTTATGCAGGCTCTCAACATGTGCTACTACTAGTTTCTCTAGATGAGGAAATGAACTACCACAGATGCATTTGATGGGGACATGGGAGAGGGCTTTCTCTTGTCATTGCTCCTGGACTCTGGAGCTCTCTCTCTCACAGAAGGCCAAGCTGGCCACATCTTTGCTATCCTTCCGCAAGCAGATGAACACTTTTTTTCTTCAGGCAGGCTTGCCCTTAGTGACTGGCTGTCTGAGAGTTTTTTTTAAAATGGATTGTTGTGCCTTGTTGCTTGTAAATGTGTTTTTAGTATTGATGTTATTTATCCTTTACATGTGTTTAATTCTTTTCAATATTTATATACATACTGTTTTTAGCTTTAAATATTGTCTTTTTAATTATGTAAGCCATGTCGGGTCTTTTTTAAGAAGAAAGTTATGGCAAAATTATTTTGAATAAATGATAAATAAATAAACAAACTTTCATGGCCTCACTACATCAGAGTACTGCCATCAGTACTGCATTATGAAAAGGATGAAATCATTTAAGAGCCCTGACTCTGATTTTCTCCCACTAGTGCTCTCCACCTTTTCTCAAAGTCATCAGTTCTTTTATTTCCCCAAAATGTGCAATGGCAGAAACAAGGAAGTGTTGTTTCAACTCTCATTACCTAAGATCTGTTCCCATATACAGTTGTGCCTCGCTTAGCGATCGCTCCGTTTTACAGTGAAATCGCTTAGCAATGCTGTTTTTGCGATCGCAAAAGCGATTGCTTTGCGATGTTTCCTATGGGGAAATTCGCTTTGCGATGATCGCGGGGAAGTGATCATCACAAAGCCCCCATTTTTGGCCAGCTGATTGGCGGTTCCAAAATGGCCGCCAGGGGAAAAATGGCCGCCTGCTGTTTTGCCTCGCTTTAGAGGCACCGAAAATGGCCACCGCAATGGAGGATTTTCGTATACGGTTAGTTTTTAAGCCCATAGGAATGCATTAAATGCGTTTTAATGCATTTCTATGGGCTTTTTAAGACCGCTTAGTGATGTTATCGCTTAGCAGCGATTTTTGCTGCACAGATTAACATCGCTAAGCGAGGCACCACTGTATAGATAAACAGCTACAGGAGGACAGGCACACTGCTACACCTTCAGTGTACCAGTGAGCGAAGCAGAGCACAGGGATTTCCATCCCTGTATCTGTCACACTGTCAAAACTTCCCATGTGCATTGCTAGTGGCTGATACAACAACACCATCACAGATCCTTCAGGATCTGTCAGGTCTGCATGTACAAAAGCCTTTTCTTGATTTCCTATTAAGCCTTTACATGTTCAGCAGCAAATTTCCAATTTCAAATCAGCACTTGAAAGACAACAAAAACAAATCACTTAGGTATCAGCACCAAATCAGAGGGCAAATTTGAGCAAAATTAACAGCTACCCAAATGATTCTATGGGGTCTACTTATTAGCAGTTTGCACAGTATTGATACCTCATTGTTAAATGTATTGCTTTTCTCCAGTATCAAAGAAAACCTGGCTATCTTAGTCTGAAGGGAACAGAAAAAAACATTTTGTATCAGCTGCCAAGCTTACCATTAGGTATGAAAAGCTCACTGAAGCTAAACCAATATATTTCTGATAACAGATGTGATACAATCCTAGAAAGATATGTTTCGTCACACAAAATACCATCATCATAAGATCTCATAAACAATCCTGATTTCATTTTTAAAAAGTCTCCCTCACCTGAAAAAAATGTCAAAGCTAGCTTAGGCAGGACTAAAAGTTTAATCTTCATATATTACCAGTAATTCTTTCTTCTCCCAATTCAAAGATAGACTGAAATGTACAAATACTTAATAACACTGGGTTCACAAACACTTAAAATGATACCAAAGAGATTCATGTACAGAGAAAGGGTATCTCACTTGTCAAATACATATTCATTTAATACCAGAAACAGTTAAAGCTTTTTAGCTGAATTCTTTTAATGTGAACTAAAAGCATAAATGAAAATTTCTCTTGCTGCATAGTTTCTGTTTGTTTGTTTGTTTGTTTGTATTGGTGCTGTAGCACCCAGTGCCCTAAGGAAGTTTGCTTTACATTTTACAGGATATTGCCAATGGTCAGGATGTAACATATTATCATCAAACGTAAGAACAAAGGCAATGGGTTATGACATGTAAGTAATTAAGGCAAGTGCAGAAACAATGATGAAAGTCATAAGCAAGTGCTGGTTTAGGAAGATAATAACAGGAGTCTTAATTCAAGGATAAAGACTGAGGTATACAAATACTTCATATTGGTGTACAATTACTTAATGACACCTTCCCTCCATACATTAGTCTTCTTATATGTTAATGTTTCCATTTTGATGCCTATTTATGAATGCTACCTTCAGCAAGATATACAAACGTTATAGTGTCTGAAACACTTGGCTCAAAATAAAAGAAATAGGATGAAAAAGCCTTCTTTTAAACGAAAAATATCTGCATTCCTGTTGCAACAAGCCAGGAAGGAAATTTTCTGGGGATACTGTCAAAGGAGATTAGGTTTACAGTATAAGCAAGTAGGTCAGTATTACAGAAAAAGCAGCTTCTGTGGTTACTTGTCTAGACAGCTAAACAGCTCATCTTCTAAATCACAAGGGGAAGAAAGTACCTCTATGATTTGGAAAAAGATGGTCTAAAAGAGGCTTATCAGACTGATTTATAGAGGGGTTGACTTAATATTCCAGTAAAAATTAAAGTGATGCCTTTTGTGCTTTGATTCCTACTACATAACAGTCATGATTGCCTATGTGTCATATAAACCACCATTGTCAAGAAGAAAACAAACTGCAGCAACAATAAGGATGAGCTTACCAAACAACTGAAAATCCTATGCTTTAACTTTAGGGTAGATAAAAATCAATGATCTTTTTTTTAAAAGTCAAATTGATTTATGACAATTTAAGTTAAAATATTTTTTAAATTTAAAGCCATCAAAAATCAACTTTTTTGAACTTAAATTCTGGTTTAAACTGTGATTCAAATCAATTTTATTTAAGTCAAATCCACACTGTTCAGCTTCTAAAGCTGCATTGTAAAATATGTGTTTTAGACTGGATAGAATAACCATTGCATCAATATCACAATCTGTTCATCTGTGCCAGTGTGGCAAGCTGACCAAGGTGAGCATACCAGCACAAAACTGTACATCACTATTAGAAAAATCAACAATGCTCAGTGCTACAGAGAATCACTGCCCAAAACAGGATAGTCTAGAAAATAGTCTAGAAAATAGACTATAAGACTGGCTGATCTCTGTGTGGCTTGCAGTAGAATCCAAAGTAATTTTCATCACAGCAACAACAAGATTGCCTTTTCCATAAATTAAGAGTGCTGAAATGAGGAAAGCTTGGGATAACGAAAACTAGATTTTCTTAATTTTTTTTATCTTTGTAAAGGGAATGAGATCTCAATTTAGCTCTGGAACAAAATACAAATTCCAGAAGTCTACAATATGTTCAGAGACTTTCCATTCTTTTACTCATTGTGTATGCATTCTGATCTTGGTAGATCCTATATTCTCGTTATAAAAGAAGATCTGACAAACATGATTTCTGCCTACCTTTGTCCTAAAGCTGCTAGATAAAAAAAATCAACAGGGTTGAACAATACTCTGCAAAAGTATTAGATAAAGGTCTGTAGCTTACACAAAACAATTAACTGAGGAATACATAATACAACACACTACCATAATTATAATATATCAATGAGACAACAATAGTGTGCAGTTAGATCAATGGGTCATTTAGATTGCATATGAAGTCCTCTGTCCTATATTAGTTTCAAAACTACTGACCAAAATCTTACTGGGATTTTACAGTGAAGCAAACAAAATCATGTTAAGTCACGACAGATAACTCAAGATAATTAATAAGGTGCAGGTAATATGTCTGGTCACATGTTCAGTTGTGCAACTGTCATGCAAGAAGCACCTCATTAACAGCTGCCACAACTTATGCAGTTTTGTTTCACCGGCATAAAAGCCCTACAGGATTTTGGCCCATGCAGTCCATCTATCATGAATAAATCTAATAAGACAGCAGCATGTGGGGATGTTGTCTTGACTATGAGTTTGCTTTTCCAAACAATACTTACTGTTACTCTTTTTTCCTGATACTGTACTAAAAATGGGTAAACAAAATGGATGCTTGCTGCTGTAATTTCTGACACTACCAAGAGGATCAGAGGAAAGATTTTAATCAGATGAAGAAAAATGCATGAAGAAAAATGCATATTCGTAGATAATAATTTATGTAGAAGATACAGATATAGATATAAAGTAAAAGTGTCTATGTGCATACGTATATGTATGTGTGTGTATATAAAGTATATACAGTGGGGTCTTGACTTGAGAACTTAATCCGTATTGGAAGGCGGTTCTCAAGTCAAAAAGTTCTCAGGTCAAATCTGCATTTCCCATAGGAATGCATTGAAAACCATTTGATCCGTATCTGCTCTTTTCCGTCCATAGAAACTAATGGGAAGCTGCTATTCCGCCTTCGACCACTAGAGGGGGATATTTTGTTTCTTTTTTCCTTAGGTCAAGAAAGGCTCAGGGAAGGCAGGGAAAAGACAGTCCAGGCAGTACAGTAACAGGCAGTCCGAATACTCTCTCCCAATCCACTCTCTAAACACTAGGAGGAGTGAGGAAGCAGACAGGCACCCTTTTCACTGGCCAACAGTTAACTGAAAGTTCAAATATTGCACTTTCCCTGCCTCCCACATGGATTTTTTTCAGTTCTTAA